GGGCGCCGGGAATGCCTGACACGCAGCCTTCCTCCGGCCCTCCCGAGCGGGGAGCGGGCTGGTGTCGTCTTACACGCCTTATATAGCCCGCACCGGCCCGGGGAGCGGGGGCACGCTGGCCCCCGGCCCTGCAGCCTCCACCGCTGCCTCCCAACTGGGAACCGGCCGTTCCTTGCGAGGGGTGGGGATGGCCCCAGAGCGGGCCCTGTCCCCTGCCTGGCAGCAGCAAGAGGAAGCTCTCCAGGGGCTTCTCAGGGACTTAGTGACTCCTTCCAGGTGAGAATTGGCCAGAAGACTGGGGGTGGCCTGCCTGCCCGGAGCCTTGGCAGGCTGACAGCTGTCAGTGCAGCCCTGGCAGGCAGGAGAGCGCTGGGATTCCCTCTCTGCCGAAGCCCCGGCTCTGTGTGCAGAGATGGGCTCGCTCCCAGGTAGCATCTCGGCTGCCGAAGCACCAGCCTGGCCGCTCTGCCAGGTGCCTTGGGTGGCATCACGCAGCTCCTGTGCTGCTGCTGCTAATTCACCCGGCAAAAATGCTTTGGGTTCCTGTCCTCCTGTACCTGCTGCTGCTTCTCCACAGTCTGAAACAGTCTCGACTTTCAGCAGCATGAGCTCCTGGAGTGCTACAAAAGAGAGCACATCCTGGGTTTGGGAGAGGGAGACTGGAGCCTGCCAGTGCTCCGCTGTGGGGCTATACCTGGCTCCCTGGCACTCAGCAATGTTAGCCTGGGCCCCTCAGCTCTGATGCTGTCGGAGGAGATGCTGATGGATTTGAGGTGCGTCCCTAACCACAGTGTAGGACGGTCAGGGTGGAGTTACTGCTAGAAATGTGACCTGCCTCATCCTGCCAGGGGCCGGGCCCCCTCCTCGTCTGCTCTCCCTGTGTTGTTCCCAAGTACGCTAATGCCAGGATCACACCCTCTTACCTTGCAGAAATGGGCGACATGGAGTCCTACAAGGTGATGCTGAACGGGCCAGCACCTTGGGGCTTCAGGCTGCAGGGAGGGAAGGATTTCAGCATGCCGCTCTCAATCTCCAGGGTAAGAGAAGCTGAGACCTCCAACACCTATCATTCCCCTGCCTCTGCGGGTGAGGGTCTTGATGGCTGTGTCCGGGTGACTGAGGCAGAGCTGTATGGGGGATGTGGCTGAGCCGGGGCCTTGGGAGTCCAGTATCTGGCCCTGCCTGGTTCCACGTAGCCTCCTTGGAGCTTATCAGCTGCAGTCTGGTATGGGGGTGTTCCGGGCAGAGATGTGAAATGCTGCACAGCCTCTGCAGAGTCATTCTGGCTGCTGGGGGAGGCCAGGAGAGGCCCCTTCCGGAGCATGCCCACCGCAGGGGGAGGGGAGCTGCTCTCTCCATCTCTGAGCTATGGGGCTGGCTTCCCGGTCTGCATTGCAACACTGGGCTCAGCATCCTGGGACGTGGCTTGTGCCCTCCTGCTCTCCCTCCCACTGTGTGGCTCCCAGCTTTGCAGCTGAGCTGGCCCCTAGAACAGACATCGAGGGCAGGAAACAGGTTTTGGGCAACAGCACAGGTTTCCTGCCCTCGCTGCCCATCCTGCTGCCTGCATTGGGATGGGAATCCCTCAACAAGCGAGCTCATTTCTCTGGTATTAGCAAGCTAATGGCTATTAGCCATTGTGGTGCCAGCTGCTCACAGCTGAGGCACCTGGTGCAAGCCGCTCCTGATGTGATGCTTGCCTGCGCCACGTCTGGCTCCATGGTACACGAGGGTCCCTGTCCCTGGGCAGCCCAGTTCCCTGGGTGGGTGCTGGCCATGGCTCTGGCCACACAATTGCCTTATAAGCCTTGGAATGTGACTGCATCGCCTGTGCTGCTGACGCTTGGGCAGCTGGCACGAAAGCTGCTTCTTGAAGGACAGCTTTGGTTGTGGCACCAAGCACTGCGTGGGGGCTTGCCCCCAGCACGAGCCCGGCACCATGTGCCTGTCCCAAAGGGCACGGGTCTCTGCAGCACCCCAGCACAGAGCACAGACCCTGAGGGCACTGTGCAAGGCTGGAGTCGCCAGTGCCGCTGCCCTGAGGCCTGCTGATCTCTGTCGAGCATGCAGAGACGACTTGGGCGAGTTTATTCTCTAAAAAATGTTTCTCTTGGCTGCAAGCCAGTGCTTAACAAAGGGTCTGGTCGATGGAGGAGCCTCCCAGGGCAGGGGCCTCGTGAAGCAATGGCCTGGCTGTGCATGCGGGGCCAGCGCTGCCCTCAGGGCTTGGGCAGTGCTGCTGCCCTGGCCGAGGCAGGCAGGAGCAGCGAGGTCATTCCCAGGGGATGCAGCCAGCTTTGCGGGGCTCTGTGGTGAGGCTGGGCTGTGTGGGCGGCTCTGATGAGAAAGAGTGACCCCACACTGCTCTGCATCTTGAAGGGATCCCCAGCCCTAAAGCTCCTGCCCAGCGCATGCTGCTATCCTTGCCACAGCATCCCTCAAGCAAGGGCCCTGCCAACAGTGCTGGCTGTCCTGCAGGGCCTGGGGTTGCCAGGGAGGGCTGGAAGGGGGTGTCTGGCCCCAGCTTTGAGGGTGTAGTGAGGTCCTGCTCTGTGGAGCCGGGGAGCACCAGGGTAAAGCAGCAGTGGTGCGTGCTTTGGCTCTCGGCTGCGTCTGTTGGCTGTGATGCTACTGAGTGAGCTGTGAGGCTGCTTCAGCTCTGGGCACACAAACCAGGGGCTGCCCTGGTCCTCTGTGCCCACACTTCTTGTAGCATGGAGCTCTGCTGGGATCCTGATGCCTTGGCTAGGCAGGCTGCAAGACTCTGGTCCTGAGCTGCTTGTGGCAGAGCCAGGGTAAGGACTGGTATCTGGGAAGCCTGGTGCTGCGTGGCACGTCCCAGCGTCTGCTAACTGGCAAAGGGGAGAGACCCTCGGCGCTGCAGGTGGGAAGGTGCTGGAGGAGGCTGTCTGGGCCCCTGTGCAGGCACCTGACTCCTATGCTGGATGCCCAAGCCCTGGATAGGGGTGGCCGGTAGGGCGGGCACTGCTGGGTGCAGCGATGGAGAACAAAGGACGGGCTGGGCGGACTGGGGAGGAAGGAAGCCTTGGTTAGCGGCACCGGGTGCGAAGTGGCAGGGCCGGGCATTGCGGCGCGCACCGCT